AAAATATTTTGATATACCATTTTTTATATCCTTTATATACTAATTTTTATATAAATGAATCTTCAAATGATTATTAGTTTATTGATAAATTTGATAACTCATTAAATATTCATATTACGTTTATTTTATTTTATTTTTATTTTTGGTTTTAAAGAATAAAAGTTCAAAATTTAGATTTATTTTAATTTATTAATTGTCAATTATTATAACGTAAGGTACGCATTTATTTTGTCGCAAGAGAAAAATAATCTCTACTTCCTTTCGTATTAAGATCGAAAAAATTTAGGCTTTCAGTACATAAATAAATAAATGTTAAGAATGATCATGCTCATATAAAAAGATAGTTCTCTAATCATCATGATTCTGCATTTGAGTTCGCAATACGTATATGGGAAGTAAGCTATTAAATCACGTTACGGATCATATGATTTATTATGTTCGTAACTCGATTTTAATAGCAAACCTCCCATATGTTAAAGTCCTTACCCACCCATTTAGAGTTTGCTGATATTTTTCGTACCTTATAAATGTATTTAAAGTATAGTCTCGATGGTAAAAATTGAAATCATTTAAACCTTTTAAAATGGGCCATTTTCAACGCAATAGAAAGAGAAAATTTATAATATTCTCTTTTATTGCAAAGGTCTACGTGATTTTGGATGAAAATAATAGGATTTTATCAACTCAAAATTCTAACTAAAATCGTGAACGCGGAGAAATCTCTTTGCAAATCTCTCTGATGCTTGGATCTATGAATATTCTTTAGTCACAGTCACTCGCTTACATGTAGTTAGGTAAGGGATTAAGGATAACAATAAAAATTTCAAATTATCAAAATAAAATGTTGTAACCAATATATATTATAATTTTAATTTTATTGAGCATTCTTCGACATGATTATAATAAAAATTAAAAAAATTTTAATTTATTAAATAGATGGTACTTTGCAAAATATTTTATTAAAAAAATAAAATATATTTTACAATGTTAATTCGCTGCTTAACGCATTTCCATCTAGTAACACTGTTTCTCATAATCATAGTTATTCCATAAGAGCGTCTTTCTAACTTTTTCTTTCTGCAGAACCATAACTTTTAAAATCCTGCAAGCAATTATTCGGTCGGCTTATTATGTTGGGATACTTTATCATTTTCTGCTACTTTGGATTCGGGACTTTCTCTTTCATTTGAAAATTTAAAATTACTATAATTTACGAACGAAATTTGCTTGCGCTGCCATTTGTAAATTCAGGAGTAATCACAGAATGAAAAAAAATTAATGCAAAAGCAAATTATATGTACATGTGCTAAGCTTCAAGTGATGGTAAAACAATTTTTAAATGTTTTATTTTCAGTTTGAAACAAAATTATTTGTAAAAAAATTGGAGATAAGTCATTCATTTAGACAAATTTTTTCAATAAGCAGTTAGCAAAATATATCATTTAAATTTGATCCAAACTCTATCCGAATAAGCTTTAACTTCCCAAGTTTTTTTTTTTTGGTTATTAAAGGTTCAATTATGGTGTTTTGAATTGATTCAAACTTATTTTTGAAGGTAACTATCAGGCACACATAAACTTTAATATTGAGAATGTCACAAAGCACTTTTTCTGAATTTTTTATTTATTAATTTATTTTTTTTTTGTTTTAGGACAGGGACATATTTACATTGCGAAATGGTGATAATTAGTTGAAATCAACTCTTCTTCAAATGAAATAAGCCCAAATGTATCACAAATTACAAAATCGATTTTGATTGGTTTGTCAACGACTGATAAAATTTATTAAAATATTTGAAAATCAAAAATATACTTTCGTTTAGCATATTATTTATTAACTTTATCGTTATTATAATACATCTAAAAAATTATTTTTTACTAAAAAAAAAACTTTATATATAATATTTTCTTTTAAAATTATTGATTAACGTCATTGACAGAATTTTCGCGCGTTATCATAGAAAATTGTCATTTTCGTAGTTGCCTATATTTTAAATCATTTAAGCTTAATCTTTTTGTCGGATAGTATAAATGAACTAATATTTGGAGTAAATAAGTCCTTGAATTGATCTTCCAGAGCGCGGCTAATCCATTTTATGCATATTTTTAATATTGGTCTTATGCTAGTAAAGCATATGGTACGATACGAGTATGACTTTAAGAGCAAACCTCCCATATAATAAGTTATTTCATCCCATGTACAAAGTAATTCTAAGCAAAAAGATGTATGAAAGAAAGCGATAACGTGTATATTATTAACTAGGATCATGATATCGATTCCTGTCATTAGAATATTGCTTTACAATAATTTAACGATAATAATGGAAATATAAAAATTTTAGATGGCTACGGCTTGAAGAGATCGAACCAAAATGTAAAAAATAAAATAAAAAATAAAAAAAATGAAAAAACAAATAAAGATCCTAAAGAAAAGAATAAACCCACTGAAATAATTGCGATACAACCCGAAAGAATTCGTATAAAAATATGAATATTTGAAAATAAACTTCCAAGCACTTGATGCCGAAAGGAATCGTTTAAAAAAATCGTATAAAGAAAAACAAAAGTAGTCTAAACTAAAGAAAAGACGTACACTTGTTATTTATTTCTAATCTTTTTTTTTTAACTAGATAAGATCTTAATTGTAAGTTTAATCAGCGCAAAATAATAAACTTTTTACATATAAGTTTAAGCAAATGGTACAGGCTTTTTTTTTATACTAAAATTACTTTAGCCTGTTCTACAAGGTATAATTCTATCGTATCGCAATTTTAATATTAAGACATTTAGTATGAATGCTTTGCTTAATGTACTGTAAGACAATGATAAAGAAATCTCTAAAGTTTGTCAGTTTTAATGTTCGTTGTGCTTCGAGCAATAATTTTCTTCGTCATATTTCTAAAAATGTAAATGTAATAAAACATTTAATATGAACAAATCGGCTTCTGAAATACGAAGAGTTAGATAGAAAACGTAAATAGAAAACATGAAAGGTATAGTGACCTATGCATGTATGGTGACCTAATGTATCGTAATTTATGGTACATCCATCTAAATGTTATTATAGGACCCACCATACATCGCCATACGTTGGTTACGATACATATATAGGTCACCCATACCTCACTTGATTTACTTAAGCGGGTTAGTGTAAGCTCGATTATCTATTTTATTATATAATAAATTTTTATCAGATTTTATTGGAGTATTTTTAATTTTTTTATGTCAATATTATTTATATGGAATATATGATTTTAAAAAAAAATAATTAAAAATTTTAAATACTGTTACGATTGAATGTAATTCCGGCCGAAATCTTCATAACTTAGCATGAAAATCGGTTTTGATAATTATAGTTAGTCCCTTTGACGATCATTTGCCAGGTTGCCAAGGTTGCCAGTATGACAAATGGTCAAAAATGCCAGGCTGGCTTAATTAAAATTTTTTTATATACATTGAGCTGGAAATCCTAAAACAGCTCAATATCCCATGCTCGCCTTTAATATATTTCTTTGAAACATTTCCTTCGCAATCCTCCTTTTTACACCTTCGCGATAATTTCAAAATTTTAGCAGAAGGCTATATATAAAAAAAAACTATTAGAACATTTTATGGGATATAGTCCTTTAAATTATTGGATAATGTAGACTTAGTCTAAATGCCATTAATGTCAAAATGCAATTGAACCTTGACTAGACTAGTCCAATTAGTCAATCCAAATTGTGCCAATGGAACTTGTCCAAAGCTAACACTGATAGTTTTTATCAAAAGTGAAACTTATTTAACTCAAATTAACATAAAATATTTTATTTAATAATAAAATAATATAATTTACCAAATCTTTAATTATAAGAATTATTAAATTAATAGATCAATAAAAATACATGAGTAACGGAAAATTTAAATTTAATTTTTTTTAAAAAAAAAGAAAATAATCTCAATATATACTCAAGTTTATTGTCTAAAAATTATTATAAAAGAAAATTTGATATGTCACAATCTGAAAAGTTATCATCATTTTCTAATTCATCTATTTTTCACAATTGTCATTTTTTTTAAATTAATCTTGCATTAGGATCAATACTATTAAGTCCAGAATCACTTGATCGATATCAGGTCTCTCATCTGGCTTATGCTCCCAACATTCTATTTAAACAAGTAAATTAAAAATTAAATTACATGTAATAGATTGTGATAAAAGAATAAATATAAAATTATACTTACTTTTATAAAGATTAATAAATTTATCATGAGTGGCAGAAATAGGAATTTCTCTTGCACCAATGAGAATTTTCAACTGAATGGAAAATGTATTACCAGTAGTTTCAAAATTAAAAGATGAGGAACAACTTGTCAATTCCCAGAATAATACTCCTAGGCTATAAATATCAGATTTTTAGTCAATTTATATAAAGGATTTTCAAAAACTTTAGGATCTATATAAGGTATTACACCACGTGCTGGTTTAGTATCTGACCCTTGTAGACATGAACATCCAAAATCTGCTAATTTGATTGAACGTTGATGGATTAAGATGTTATTGGAATGCTAAATAAAAAAAAGTATTAATATAGTAAAATCAAATATAATGTATTAATTTATTGACTTACAAGATCTTGATGTATAATGTCATTTTCATGTAACAATAAAATTGCACTCGCATTTTCATTGGCAAATTTCAATTGGCTTTTCCATTTAAAATATTTAGCGTTATTTCTTAAATATTTTTCTAATGTTTCGCCATCTGCATATTCAAGAATAAGCGCATAATTTACTTCATCTAAAATAAAAAATAATAAAATGATGTGAACAATATACTTTAAATAAAATTACTAAATAATAAAAAATTAATTTACCTTTTAATTTCATAATTCCATAATATCTTATTAAATTTGGATGAAAAAAAACTTCTTTTCTCATAATTTCCATTATATGAATCTACAAAAGAGTATTTTTAATCTAAATATCTATATATATATATATTTATTAACAAAAATTATATTAAACCTCGTTTAAAATAATTTCTTCAATTTCTTTCATTGAACTTTTATACAATTCTTTAATTGCAAGTTTTGTTGTAGTGTTTTTCCAATGTGCAGTATAAACTAAGGCATAACCTCCAGAACCAATTTCAGAAAAATCATTAAAATCTTGAGATTTAAGAAAATGAATATCACAATTTTTGTAACGCAGATTTAACGCATGAACTTTAAATGTTAGATTATAAGGAGCTTAATTACTTTCATTAGTTCGCTGCTAGACATTGTAGACTAACAGTACAAATGAAATTTTCTATTCAAATAAAATAGTATTTTATTATAAAAGGAATTTAAGAGTTGGTTTGCAAACCAATAGTATAAATAATTTAAAAAAAATATGCAACAAATGGAGTTTTTATATATTCAGAAGTAACGCAAAAATGATTGTACTATTTCATAATGATATATACATCATAATTTCGAGGGTTTTTATGCATAGCAGACATTACAGATTTTCTTATTTTTTTTTTACCATATATATGTTGTCAATTTATGCACTAGTACTTTGATTGGTGCTATAATCAAATGTTAATACTTTCGTATTCAGTACTTTTTGCAGAATTTGATTCGTATCATACAATACTAGTGTTATCCCTTTAAAGGATTTGTACTGATTCGTATGAACTGCATCATACCAGAATTTTAAAAGATTTATATCTAAAGTAATTTTTTGATGTTAAATTAAATTAAAAGGAAAGAATAGATACTTAAAAAATTAAAATTGAATTTAAATACAAAAACTCTAATTTATTTTTAATAAGATGCTTTTGTCCGTCAATAAAAAATGTTTTTTTATTTTTTATTTTTTATATTTTTTTTATTGAAATAAAAAGAATATCATCAATAATTAATTGCTTAAATCAGTTAAAATTTTTAATTTCAAATGTAATAATAAATCCAACGATAAGTCACAGGACTAGTACGAAAGTATTATATACTATGAGCACGAATCAAATTTTGCTTAAAGTACTGATCTGCAACATCCGGTTCCTATCAAGTCTAACTATATAATATATCTGTGTTTAACTAATATAGTAAGCTCAATCGCTCAGAAGCTTATTTTCTCAAAAAAGCTTAAGCTTAAAACTGTATTGAGCTGAACTTAAGCTGAACTGGTTAGCAATTTAACATCCCTATTCAGGCACCTTGAAGTATCATTTCTCTGAGGTCTTGTTAATTTATATAGTCAACTTCTTCTATAGTTACACATTTGGGATAGACTATATTTGATGATTATAAGGAGGTGTAATTATAAATGAAAAAATTTTTTTAATCACATTTTAACAATAAATACATAAATATGACTATAAAAAAATGGTTTAGTTATTTACT